TCACCCGACGAACGGGACTACTAGGCAGAGTTTAGCAGCTTGGCAAGTAGACCGTATGTCCGGCCTTCGGGACTACTGGGCTTTGCAGAAAAAGCCTTACCCGACGAACAGGACTTCTAGGCTGTAGGCAGACAGACAGGGTGATCGGTGGCAGCTGCATGGGTGAGACCTCGTTACGCACAGGCCGACGATGTGCAATGTGATGAACGCAGTGCGACCCGAGTGAGTGATCTCTGTCCACGCTTGGTTCAACATGACCGACGCCGCCTCGATCCCTCGAAGTAGCCACCAGCAGCAGATGATGACCAATCATATCGATGCGATAGCACAGGTACTGTGCCCAATGCATTGCGTCGGGGAATTCGACGTTGGTGTCGTTGATCCTGGTGACATCCTCTACGAACGGCCCTCTCAGCTTGGGACATTCGGAGTAAAACTTCGGGGGGTACTATCACATGCGCACTAGCTACATGTTCCTGTCTCGCCTGGCTAAACAGCAGCTTCGCGGACTTGTAGCCTCCCGCTCGTTTCAATCGGGAGTCACGAGACTTCGTCGTTGTAGCTGCGTCAGTGTTTTTACGCAATTCTGCTAGAGTCTCCTCGCGGAATTCGGGCTTCGCGGCAAGCAGGGCTTTGGACAAAGACCCACGAGTCGAATGATTAATCGTGGGAAGATCTCGGCGGGCCTTGGGAGCCACCGCTGAGGGCACCGAGGAACTTATCGAGCTCAGCCCTATTCGGTGCTATCTCCACGAGCATCGACTCGGAGATATTCTTTAGCTTATCCACGGTAATAACGTCGTGGACTGCCAGAGCCGGCGCAAAACCGGTGAGATCATGAGCTCGGAGGAATGCTAGTACGTCCGAGAAGGTCATCGGGGGGGCTACAATCGGGGCCTGGGGCAAAAACCACTCGAGGATGCATCGATGTACCTACCGTACCTGCTTGCGAAGCCAATGATGCGACTGTCGTCTTTGTCTTCCAATCACCGCCGACGGAAGGCAGTGTTACTAGAGGGCCGGCCTACGTTTACCACCGGTTCGGTGAACACAGACCGGGTCAAGTCACCAACCTCTTCCCGAAGTTGTTGAAGTGCAACATGCATCGTCATGAGTCGTTGTAGTTGACATAAGCAGGATCGAGCTATTCTCGGAGCGATAGTTCGTCTCCACTCTTTCCAAACGAAGAGTCAGACGGTGTAATTGTTGGCGATGTTCGTCGAGTGTATATTCGATGTCTCGTAGTCTGCGCCAGTCCATGCGATGTTCCTGCCTACTTGCCTAGGGACGTTGGGCCAATCACACTCAGTTCGGGAAAGCAGAGGCTGCCCTTGAGCCCTTACCGGGCTGTCGCGAACATGTAACGCTTCGTGCTTGACCGGCTCAAGCTGGCGCACTCGGTATCTCTTCATTTTCGAGGGGTCGGCGTCGAGGTCCTCGGTTGTACTGTCTAGTCTGCATAACTTCGAAGGTTAATCCGGGGTGTCTGAGAGAACTGCATACCTCGCATCGCCTAGGCGGAAGAGGTAGCAAGGTCAGCATATCGCTGACGATTCGAAAATCTGAGCACAACGTCTTACAAGTCTTACAGACGGCGATAAAGCCGAGGGCCCGGGGCCCAGTCTGTCTGTCACCACGTCTCCGGCGTCGCCTAGGCGGGACGGATGACGGGTACGACACCGAGGATTTCGAGGACCCATCGAAAACAGCTCAGAGGGACTGTTGGTTCTTTCGGCTCTGCTTCATCAACTCGAGGTGATTCGGGTCGACGTCCAGGAAGCTGCGGTCACCCGCCAAGTACTGGGCGGCGCGAAGTCGGATGTAGCACAATGCCATGAATTGCATGAGGTCATCCTGTGTAAGAATGACCGTCTCGTCTTCTTCGTAGACATAGATCGCAAAGTGATAGAATGGTGGGTCTCGACGAAAGGATGCGACGCCGTAGGCCTCGAAGTTCTCGGCGGCCTTGGCCGTCTCATCGAGGTGTCGTTGCGGATGCTTCGCGGCCGGCAACAAGTCGGGGCGGTATTTGTTCTTCGCAGTGAAGTTGCGGTCGAGGATGTTCGTCATGTTCTGCTCCGTCCAAGTCGTCTCTTCGAAGTATCCGAGGATCTGGTACTTGATGTTCTGGTCGCGGATGGCACAGATCAAGCGGTTGCGGAGATCGTCGGATCCCAAATCCAAATCCAAATCCAAACGGTAGCCCGCCATGATCTGCTTGAGGCGCCCGATCAGGGCATCGTCGTCCTCCGTCTCCCACTGCGTGAGATAGATGTAATACTCGTGGTCCACAGAGTGAATCCTCTGTCCTCGGAGCGGTACCTCTTCATGTCAATGGCCGGCGGTATCGAGGATAAGCGTCTTCTGTGCTGGGACCAGCGGCTTCGACTGGAGGGCTGTCGGATTGGTTCGCTGCGCATGTGGCCTGCACGGTGTAAGGCCTCGGAGACAAGTATAGCGCCTATGTTGTTCGCGCAGCTTGTATGCGGTGCAAACTTGTCGTAGCCAGTGATGATTGTGGATCACCGCGGTGCAATCGCGGTTGCAGCAAGTGAAATGCTGTCCCAAGCACCCGGTGCTCTTGAGAACCAATCGGTGCAGGGGGCATCGTTGAGAGCCCTGTTCCAGAGCTCATCGCCGTCCCAGTTGGGGTCGATGGACTTGGCGATCGAGGATACCTGGAAGACTCGATTTCGTCGGTCTGCATCGAGGCCTTCGACGTCCGCCATGAA